CTGTTTCTCTTTGTCGATTTCCAGAGGGAGAAAGAGAAATCTAATCGATTGTCTACGAAGGCCAAGCATGAACGAAAATAGTTGTCAATGGTTCACAGTCGGCTCATGTGCATGGCATGGGCTCCGTTGATGTAGCTAGAACAGTCATCTACCACACGCGCACGTCTGCAGCAGATACAACATGGCCCGCCGCCATACATCAACCTCAAATTTGAGCTATTAACAGTAGTAGGCGGCTGATCATGTGAAACGCGTAATCGATAAATGAACGGTACTATCTATGTCTGCGAGGCGTGTTATATGTTTCCGTCCGTATGTTCATTTTCATACTCTATACTATAGTGGATAGTGAGTGTTGTTGACGACAACAGCCGAGCTGAACGCTACGGTTTCTCTCACCGTGGTTATCATTATACCGAATTACTATTGGGCATATTAAAAGACCCATGAGCCGTTATACCACACGGTAACAGTAGCAATATTATAATCTAATGATTTAGTAATTTAAATATTCCTAAATTATGATGAATGCTTTGTTTTTTCAGCCAGCATAAAACGAAGATGCTATTTTTACGGTCATAGATTCATTTTGCTTTCCTTCGCACAGTGTTATCAAATGCTCGAGGTAGCGGTATAGCCGATTCTTCTTCGAAGGACAAACGTGTTTTGACTTCGATCTCCTTGAGTATAACAAAAAGTGCAAAGCCACTGGTATTGTGATACGCCTCACTGTAAGAGGGAACCTTCTTTTTGGCGAAGAAGGCACCGGGACGTCCATTGTGTCACAATAGGTTTATGTATCCAGATTCATTTATCTAACACTGTATTCGTGCATTGCATCTCTGCATCGATTGTGGTCAAACTAGGCCACTAGAGCTTAGTCGATAACTAGAAATTCTTCCATTTCATTTCCTTACAACGTCTACGATGGGTAGCTCTGAAAATCAACGTTCGTATGTTCCTGCTTATCGCTTTCTTACGTTTGGTCTATTTACATTCATTTCGAGACAACGCTGGCTAAAAAAAAATACATACTAAGGTAAAACAGTAAGTGGACCGCCTTGTCTCTAACGTTCAAAAAAAAAAGTCTGCTTCCACCGCAATATTACGACGTGTCCTTTGCCTAAGTAAAAACAATTCCCTGAATCCTGACGATGGTAGCAAAAGGCAATGTCAAAATTTGGTATTCCTCTCAGGTTCGCGAATTGTCCTCTTCTCTTGGCTTAAAGTGAAGAAAAGCGTATCTTATTGACTTATAAAAATATCCAATATATGTCAAGCGCGACAGCGGCTCTTCGCAACTTACAAGGTGGACATAAAACGTTAATCGGTTTATCACAATAGACTAGATACATTGCTTAAGGAAAAGAACACACGCATGTTTCGAAAGGCTGACTAACGTAGGCTTACCTCTTAGGCCGACCTTCAAACAGCTTTAGATTTTAGCGTTCTTCACTAAAAAATTTGTCGAAATATAATAACCATGTCTGTAGATGATTTTTATCGAGCGTGCGAATTCTGGCAATCTCTGGGCTATTCGTTCATACTGAAACGCACGAGTTTCTGAGCGGCAGTGATGATCCCATTGAGGGAAAACTTGAATCGTCCACCTTTTCCGGTACAGGATTTAAATCAACCTATCGTCAGCTATAGCGTGAGTGCAAAAATAGACATTTCGCATTGCATCGATCGGCCATTGGTGCTACCAGAAAAATGTATAACTATATTCATGTATGAATTCGTCTATAATTTATGTCGAATCATTGGTAGAGCTGAACTCTGTAAGAGCCGTATTGAAGGTGAAATACTCGAACATAGGAGCTGGCTCTACTAGAATTGATTAGATTATGGCAAAGTTCATAACTAGCTATGCATTGGCCACCATGCATCGTCAGAAACATAAAAGTAGAAAACACATATCTAGCACGATAAATACTGAGCAATTGTTAACTAAATAGAAGAGGAGAAACTTCCCTCAAGTTTCTCTTTTTATCTATCACTATGTCCTTGTTAGTATATAATACTGAGGTACTCGAAGGCCTTAACGTTGCAACCGCTTGCATCGTCTCGTCGACTGCAGCCTCAGGGCTGTGACCTACACGAGCCCTCGCTTATTACAACAATTTCTAGATAAGTTGAGCAGTACAAGGCTGCCATCGCTTAAGCAGAGAGAAAGCTAAATTTCCCACGGTGGCTGCTGGTTCCCTAATTGACTAACTAGTTAATGCTACTTCGTCCTGATAGGCGACTGTCTGATCGTCTCTTCAGGGCAGCGACTCTTTGTCACTCGGAGTAAGTCTCTCGCTACGGAATCTTAACTCGCTATTGGGGGTTTCTTCTCTACAATCGTGGCTTTTCGCGATGTTGACTCTACTCTATCCTATCTCCTTAGATCCGTACTGCTCAATGAACTAGCTGGAGATGTTCAGTCGTCAAACTATGATTTACTACGACTATACACCTCATCATAGTTACGTCGATGCCTCAATGGTAAATGCCAGAGCACGCTACGTAAAACATGAAACTTGAATTGAAGAGGGGGTGTTCTCAGTCGAAACAAGAATCATCTCTGTCACAACGACACCTGGGGTGACGCATCACTCATCTTCGGTCGTACAGCCACCTCTCGCGCTGCTCGTCTCCCATCGATAGACAACAGTATCAATAACAAAATTTACCACTGATACCTCTCCTGCTATTACTATTCACTGTCAATGCCGGTTCATCTAAGCACAGAAATCATTATAAGCATCGTTATTAGTTATCGGCCGTATGGCATAATAAACGTAAAATATATAAATTTTTGTCATTTGATCATGTGACTTGGTGACGAAATTATCGATCTGACCAGTTTCAAACACCGTGGACGCATACCTAAAGCCCAGAAATAATTTGCTTGCTGATCCTGGAAATATAGACCCAGCATTGACACGGTCAACTGTATTAGCATCCAGTTGTTTAAATAGTACTGTATGATATTTCAGATGATGCGAATGATGAGCAAAATCGATGGCCAGCATTTCAGATATTTCTTATAATGGAAACTATTGTTTCTATGGTCGTCACAAACAATATAAACTTATTATCTTATCAAAAGACCACTTTCTGTTTTGTTAGAGTAAAATAGCTTAAATCCTAATTGTACGATAAAAATATCTGTAGAGGAACGATAACACGTTTTGCAAATAGGAGCGATTATCAGGATAAACTAAACTATCTGTAAGCACCAAATGGTCTACCTTTACAGCTACAGGTACGCGCGGCTCACAATTTGACATATAAAAACAAGTGACAAATGCCGAAAAACATAAGGGCAAATTTATTTTGTTCCGCTACGAAAGTCTGCCTTAAAGGAAATGTATATCGATGGATGCGTTCTGTAGGAACGTAGCTCTATAGTCCTGCTATATATTCTCGTTAAACAGTTCTATTGCGAAACATCCTTTTTTATCCTGCTCCTTACTAACACTTTTTCAGTTTGGTCAGTATTGTTCAATAGTTCCCGATCGGAACGTTTGCTGTGCCCAATAACTCCGCAATACATGGGACAAATAATTATTTAGTAAATACTGTGCACGCTATCATTTCCATCGTTATCGCTCAAAATCTCGACCGTTCTCAAAAAAAAAATTTATCAGTTCATTTCAAAAGCCATCCCATAAGGAACTAAGGGTAACACTTCAAAATGATGTCTGACGCTAAAACTATTGTCAAAAAATATATATGTCATATTGCCGCTAAGCATTGCCTGAGGCAAGTCTCAGAGCAAAGCCAATTGTACCTACGCCCAATTTTGAATCGTATTACTTCTTGAAACCGTTGGCGTCTTCGAGAAGTATGCGTCCACGTCCATGTCCCTTACCATGCCGGTGACAACTGTCGATATGAGAGCTCGTAGCGGCATAATTAGGGTGAAGCCGCACACGACACTCATATCAGCACCATCATCTCTGTCGGTCAGACTACACGTGCACGTTTTTTTCTAAAAAAGTAATTATCAATCTTTATCTATAGAATATATAATAAATATGTAAAATTCCACCAATTCACTCTTTCTACCCAACTCGATTCAAACTGATGGCCAATTGAAGACCGGCTACCTAGGTAAATCGACCCATCAAGATAAGGCCATAAATATCCGAATATTTCAATTGAAAGGTCTTAACAGGGAGTAGTAGTAGTAGTAGTAGTAGAATCCACGTGAACTTTGGATAGGTAGCGTCTAACGTAACGATCTGTGACAATGGCTTGTCAATGCAAGGTCGCTGGTTTGAAATAAAGTGAGGGACACTGGGAAGGTAATCACTGAAACGGCTTCGCCGTAGAAAGCAATGCATTCAAACAAGAGCAAGAATCACGGGATAAATACTAAATACTATAATAAATCTGTGATCTGTGCGAAGCTTAAAGCTTTCGGCGTTCCTTTATCGTAGCAAGCCAAATATTCTATCATGTAAAATAATTGGTTAAATCTGGTCTACACATGCGAAAAGGTACGTCGTGTATGTAAGTCGACACAATTTTTGCATGCAATCTGGAAGATATTCTTGCAATGCAAGTGAGTTTTTTTTTTACTTTGAAAGCCATCATTTCTTTGGACATTTGCTAGTCGGCGAAGAAACGCTTGGGCTTAAATGCCATGTCTGACCCGCTTTTTTGCCCGCTATGGAGAGAACCTTTCCCCTGATCTCCAGATCTTTGAGTAGCGGTAGTGTATAAGCACGCCAATCTCCTTTTTCCTGCCACAGTCATTTCCTGTTCCTACGGTTGCTACGACTATTTATTACTACAACTACTAATGCCACAGTTATTTAGATGTACCTGCAGCTAGACCAATTTGTTATCCCCTTTCCTCGTTGATTTACGATGTCCCAGCCTCTCCTATATCAAGATTGAACAGAAACAGTTCTCCTTTAAACGCTTGTATGTATCAGGCTTTCCTTCTAAGTTAGTCAAAAATAGCTTCTACATATTCATTTGACATCCTGCTTTTTTATTAGCCGCTGGATCTGCGTTCTACCTTGGGAAATGTCAGCTACGCAGTAGCTCCTGTCTCATTCGCTAGTGTTGCAAGGTAAGCGCAGTGGTGTTTGAGCATAAGCAAGTTCTGACTATGGTATAAAAGACTCTGGGTAATGTACACTTCAATTTTAGTGGCGCGTCTAATGGCATCTTCACAACGTGTTTCCTGTGCTTCCTCTACTGTGTATATGACGGGATAGTGCTACTTGATGTAGCGCAGCAATGGCGGAATACGTTGTTCGCCTCGAGCACCACGGGCCTAAAGTGGGCAACAGAGAACAGGGCCTTGTAGAGAGTGGACCACGTGTTCTGACTGGTGGTGGCCCTGGCAACAGGAAAGATTTGGAAGGATAGATCTGGCGTTCCTTAAGCTGTAGTATTCAAACGGCAACTATAGAAGCAGCAGTTGCAATGCTAAATGAGACGGTGCCTAGGACGGCTAGAAGGTGAAACAACACCGCAGCTCAGGTGCTTACTGGTTAGGTGGTAGAAGAGCGGACGTTGGTCAAAGTTACTGCTCGAGCAAGAACACTGGACACATTGGCTGCGCATCGCACTAGAGCTGCTTGGCTTGTTGGGTTCAGCCAGTGGATACCAGCGGATCGGACCGACCAGGACTGTGTAAGTTTTTTCATAGGCCATAGGGCGAAGTGATTGAAAGGGCCACAGCTCACGATAGAATTGACAGTTGATGTGTGCTGTTAGAGCAGAACTATTGCAGACGGCCCTTGTCATTGTGGAACGATGACAGACAACCTCTAAACAAAAAAAAAACATTTAAAAAGACTTTTAACAAAAACTAAATCTATTTATGGGTCTTCCGTTACTTCCATTTCTTACGTGAGTCGACTGAACAGGTTATATTTTATTAAAAGCCGTTTCTGAAAAACTGAAAAAAAGATCTAGTAGTACACAAGTAGCCTAAATTAATTTTAAAGGAAAAATATACTTTTCAACAACAATACAGTGAGATTAAAAAAATTTAATATGAATGTATAGAAAAGTAATCAAATATAATTCTCTCATGTTTCTACAGCCGAAGTTACGTAATAGCGCAGAGAAATACCTTTATAATCAAGGTGATTCGAGAAGAACGCTCTTTCGTACCTCATTGCTTTCTTGCAAAGAGCTCCTTCCCAACTGCCGAGAACAGCAGACGTTGTAAATGACGAATGAATCGATTCGGTTGTACCTAATAAAGATTAATGTTTTTTCGTTCCTTTAGACTTACATAACGTAGCGTTTTCAATCTGGTATAATGAGACACCATGCGTGTAGGTAGTATCTGATCGAATTTTTCATCTTATGCTCTCCCCTCCATGTATCTATTTCCTGTCGGTTGTGGGGATTCCAACCCCATCAGTAGAGGAAACGATCATCGGCCGTTGGAACAAAACGAGCAGTAAGAGGGAAGCCGTGTTCTTTTCGCTTTTGTATATAGAGAATATAGGACTCTATAGGACTTGTTCTCCGGCGTTTCCTTTAAGGTCTGCTCCTCACTGGTCACAGCAAATTGGATTATACCACACAGAGAAGGGGCAGCCGGGGCAAAGACTATATTTAAGAAGAAGGGGCACTTGAGAGAAGAATGGAGATGTGGTCTGTTCATGACTATGAGCTGGGATACGTTCGCCTATGACGACACTACAAACCATCAATAACAGCAGTAGCTGCAGAAGCCATCTGATGTAGTGCGCGACAGCAGTGAAACTGGGCGCAAAACTTGAAACATTTATTTCACAAATGCTAGAACATATAGGTAATATTTCTGTAGATACAATACCTATATTATTTCAAATTCTTCAAACAATTCTACTAGCGTTGAGCACTGCTTCGGGTGACTGGCTCCCAGCACGGAACCAACTGGGTCTGCTTGCGGGTATGTGGGCACTCGCCTAATTTCGAGCCTAGACTACCTCACGTGTTTCTAAATTTAGTAAGCATTGTCGCTATCAGTGCATCATCACACTGGGGCGGGTACTAATATAGCACATACCCATGACTTTTTTGTTTCGCCCTTTTCCTCGAGTTCGTTTGGTTCTTGCTTCGTCCACTGATATTTTTGCAGCCCCATTTAAGGCGTCGTCCCGCCGCTTGGTTTCCCCTCCCCAACCCCTGTTACAATTACTCTACAATTGTTCTCGGCCGGGTAGATATCAATCTCGAACGCTTGCCCGTCAGAAAGCCACTAGGAACCACGATCATTTTCTTCTTTTTATTCTAAAATTGCTAGCTAAATCTCGTAAGCTCTGTGCAGCAGTTTCCGGTGCCAGACATTACGGACCACAAATTCTGATCGATATCGTTAGTACGTATTGATACACGTTTACTGCAACTGCGTAATCATTGTGCGTTGCAGCCTTGCAGGCAACAGTTCTCTGAAGCACCGTAGCAATAAAAACGGGGCGGTACGTTATTGAAAGCGGATATGAGGCCGAGGAATAAAAAGGGAAAGAGTGAAGACTGGACGGTATTTAGCAAAGTTGCAGGTTACCTGCAACATTAAATGGCGAGAAAGTACCACAGCAATATCAAGGTGGCAGCAGGTGTCACCGATAGAAGCTAAAGCCCAGACTAATTATCCTTGTTCTGTAGCTCTGCCCATAGGAACGCTGAACGCAAAGAGCTTGCTAGTTTAGTTTTGGTGGATGAGGAAGTTGGCATTCGTGAACGTCTTCTTAATTCCTCTAATTTCTCTACTCAAGCTTTCCTGACCGAACAAAGCTGGCGCCGCGAAAACCAGTAGCATCGACGCGCCGCTAGGCCAGCTGGGTTTCGAGGCTCGAGAATGTAGTAAAGCTAGAGAAAATGGGGATATATACGTAGGAATTAACTCAACCTGTGTATCGGCGATGCATTGAAAAGGGCTCCAAAAGCAGATGCATGTAAAGCCTTCCAAACAGATGAAGTCTAGAGGCTGCTCATAGACAATTCGCGTTGGTCGAAAATATGTTGCCAGCAACCGTCCAGTAGCAGAGGGATAGCATGCTTCTCTGATATGAAGATGCCGCAGTTGTTTGCCTGTTGCATTTGCAGGGTGTTATAGGCTGTTCCCAGATAGAAGATTTCTGTACGAGAATTATTCTTATGTATGCGAAACCGTACCTGCCCATGTCGTAGCTCGCTAATAATCATCACCCTCCAGACCTGGAGCAGCTGTCAGAGTTCCTTGAGATTGTTGTAGCTTTGGCAGGTAACAAAGCAACTACTGTTAACTACCACAATTGCAGCTGTCATTAATACTGCCATCGTTGGTTGTCGGTCGTCTTGTCTGATCCTCTGACTTGCTGTGAGAATAGAGTTACGAGAGGAAAAACGGGGCTAGTCTGTCAGCGATCGTTAGAGTCAGTCGAGTGGCTAGTTTTGGGGAGGTAGACGTCCTCGCTAACGTCAGACCCACTGAATGTACACTGCATGTGCTTTCCTTCAACTCTGTACTTATCGCACAGGCAAACAGAAGTTACTTTATTATTTCTGTGATTGTATTATTGGAAGCGAAAAGTTACGCAGCGGCAGAAGGATCAACGGCGAGCAAACAGGACTCCACCGAATCTCGAGCTTGGACGCACCTTAGAATTAATTATGTTGTTGCTATTATCGGTAAAGGTGACAGAACATCTGATGGGCATGATATGCGATCAGACGATAATATATATACATCGAGTAGCTCGTAGACCGAGTGTGCGCTGAAGTGGAAGATAGAAAGTATGATTTTTCAACATAAACGTTAGATGTGAGCGTTATGGTTATATCCATGCATCAACTGGTATAATGGTGCGTAAATGAGATTACGTCTGTATCTAAAATAGAGTGAATAGTACTCTGCAACGTGAACACCAGCATTAACTTTGACTGGTAGCAAGATTCTTGTGCTGTATACTTTGTGCAAGCCTTTAGGGACCCTGGACCACCGAGTCGTTACTTGCATATGTTATCTTACCCATTTAATCCGAGATTCTAACCCGTACATAATGGGCGTCAATAAGTGTGCCAAATAAAAATAAAGAAAGTACGTTCGTGAAAACACCCTTACTCTGAAAACAACTGAGTTACTGCTATCCTTGTTGTAAGCTTTGTCGGCAATATGAAACAAGCATCTTGCTAATGAAGCTAGGCTTGATAACTTTACTAGAACAGATGGTTATACACATAAACGTCTGTATATCGTAAAGCGGAAATGATGCTCTTCTCCAGCATCCGATTTCCTTTTATGATTCAGCTGCGTAGCAACGGAGCGATGTTGATTCTGTTGGATTCAGTAGGCGTTCTTGGTATATTTGAAAAAAAAAACACAATAACAGACCTTTCTAACTGAAGTTGCACTGATCTTTGTCCAGATCGGAAGTGCCTCGTTTAGCCGTTTATGCGGCAATTCAAGTGAATAAACAACACGTATTTATAGGTATTATGAAGAATTTAGCGATTTAACACATTTGCTAGACCGAACGTATCCCGACTGTAGTATTTGCTTATCGCGAGAATCTTCGCACGAATACAGATATATGGATGATACCAGATAATATAGTACTACAATTTTACTATGTAGCTTAATAGCAGTTTGCGAAGACCTGTGTAAGTGTCTTTCCAACTGAGTCCCCTTCGGCGATAGTCTATTAATGGGCTTTACGCTGTTGTGATAACCTAAGAATTGTTTTCTCTTTTATGTCACATCAAATTCGCTGCTAACAGAGGCAGATTATTCGCACATATACGGTATTTCGGTAGCGTAAACAACTGCGGATATCGACAGTACTATTGTTGTACAAACAACAATATCTACCTCCGACGAGGTAGCTACGTTTACGGCCAACCCCCCCCATGGAATCACGTTAATATGAATGTTTTAGTTCCTATCACCTCGAACACTCTTTTCATTCTCTCTCTAGCTTCATTCTATCTTTCACGTCACCCTAGTTCTTTTGTCCGTCTGGATAGCTCAATTAGGTGGGGAAAATTTGTCAGCTAGTATATTTGGGATGGAGTGTTTGGGTATGCGCCATTTTTCTGACCGTACACGTCGTAAAATATATCGCTTTTATGATTCAATTAGACATAGGATATGCCTGTTAAACAATGAAGAAGATAAAGGCATTCCCGCTTGACACATCTTAACACGTATAATTGGACCGTTGTTGGAGGGACCATATGTAGATACGACAGCTAGTTGAATGTTACCGTACTTCCTCTCATATCGTAATCCTGACGTTTGCTGCTGTTGTCGTTCCGTGCGTGTTTGTTTTGGACTCTGCTTCGTTTGGTTCTGTTTGGCGTTAAGCGTCATGTCATGGCTGACAGAGACGCTATTGACCAACTGGAGCAAAAATCGTGCCGTGGGCGAATCGCTAGCAGTTGGCGAAACGCTTTCCCCCGGAAGACAAAGCTCTCAAAACGAACCATACCCCGGCTATCAGAGAGTCGGTCCGAGATCCCCCGACGATTACGAGGTTCGTATGCGAGATTCTGTTCGTTTTAGGTACTTCATGTCTATATATATATATATATATATATATATATATATATATATATATATATATATATATATATGACGTGTACGAACAAGGTTTTATTTAACTATAGCGCCACCCGAGCCCACTGTTATATGACCAGCACATTCCAAGCAACTAAATATGGCCGATTAGTAATTTTTCTTACTCAATTTTCGGTTGATGTTTTGTTACTATAATTACGTATGCAGAAGAGACTTGTAACCGCGAAAAACAATCCATTCTCTCTATTGAAAAGAGCCGTAATACTTCAACGTCTAAGTAGTTTCTTTTTCATTAGTATTATACCTATACTAGCTAGAATACAATCCAAGTGAAGCATTAACTATAGAATCTAAATGCTGAACGATTCTGGCGCAGGTAATGGAGTTGTTTGGGGATCCACTCCCAGGGAATACGGCGCTGTTGTTGGGTCTTGCAATTGTGCTTGGCCTGATTATCGTGGCCACAGTGATAGGAAACATCTTCGTTATTGCGGCTATCATAATAGACCGAAATCTGCGGACGGTAAGTTTGTTTTAGCATTGTTTACTATTTTCAAATTGAGTTAAGTAAGTACTCCCCCTTTCCTGCAATTATCAGCGAGCATATCTGGCAAACTTTGAAGTTGGATACGTTTTGAATTAAGTGGGTTAGAATAATGATTTGATAAGTATTAGAAACACTCTCCTTTATTTTTTAAATACTTGTTCCAGCGCTCTGGCAGCTTCTGGACAGCCATATACTTGCTATTCACGTTCCCGTACGTAATACTTCTATCTGTAGTTTCTCAAAGCAAATAAATAGTAAGATATGCTGCTCTTCTTAAGGAATGGGTACGATACGAATATGGTAGTCCCATGGATTTCGATCGAATTGAAACCAACGTTACATACTCCTTTGCTCAACCTGAAAAGTAACTGAGGCACGGCGAGGGCGTCTGTTGGCGGATAGAGATGGTTGTCGTCAAGTGACCAAACTACGTGCTTTCCATTGCCGTGCGTACGATCTATGTGTTTCTTGAGAAACTTGAGAGAGCGAGCTGCATTTATGGTCTCATTTTGGGCGATCTTTCGGTATACTATATATCCTGTTTGCAGCAGGTACTACGATCGTCTCATGCCCGAACCTACTCGATGCTGTTATCCTAGATTTTTTCCATACGCATTTCCTACTTGTTTGCAGTCAACTCACAGGAGACCTATTTTTTTTTTAACTGAGTCTCCGCATTTACAGTATGTGGGTTATACTTTGCCAATGCTTTTTTGGCTTTTGGCACGAAACTATGCATTCGTGAAGCCCCTTGATTTTAATACGTGCTCATTGCAGGTTTTCAACACTGCAATCTCCGTTCTTGGAATTATTGCACCATTAAAATAATAAACGTTTGTTTAAGTTTTTTTTATCTAATGTCCTAATTAGGTTCCGATGAATCTTCGCACTGTTGTAGCTTTCGGGGACAAAAGCGTGATTTTTGAGCGTTGATTTTCCAGACTAGAAGATATTTTTCCCCAATTCCAGGAGCCCAATTTTGCTGGAGTAAGCTCAGCGGGTTTTTTTGACAAGTTTCTCGAAGACCGAGGCATTAAGCTACCAAGTTTCGTAGTTCAAAAATGATTCAATTTCAAGGTTCGCCGATTCGCTTGTAATGGCTCATATATATATATATATATATATATATATATATATATATATATATATATGTATCTTTATATATATATATATGTTTCGTGCCAAAGTGCCTGCGATAACTTAAACCTGTTATGACTCTGGGGTTGTGCGCTTGATTGATTTTGTTTCTGGCGCGTGGCTAAGTTGAAATCCTATTGCATTCCACATGCGAATTTATTCTCTATGCTACAAAATGGTTGAATTATTCTAACGACAAATCGTTCAATGGGGCATTCTTCTGAGGATTCCTACATGAACGGTACAACATTCCGTTCACTGCTAACGGAACAACGTCCTCTTGGTACGAAGTATGCTCACTTCGTTCAATTCACGCTTGGAATTGTTTATGATGCTCATGAGTGCGTCTGCGTGACACTTGTTTAGAATTACAACTATTGAAGTGAGATGACGCCTGGCAGAGCAGATGCTGCGATCGATAAAGGCGAAGGTCTTTGGAAAAGTACTTTATTGTTGGTTATGAGCATTGGACCCAATAGAAAATCGTGCTATTTATCTCCACGAAGCTTGAAAGGGAGGGAAGAATAACTGAAGTCTTTTCAACTGAATATGTACATTCACGCACCCTTTACGGGTTGTTTACAGGTTCCTGTAGGAGCCGTGAGTGAAATAGTATATCTACATATGTACTTTTCTTTACGAGCGAGTCTCCTTTGGTGAGATGTTTCTACAGCTCTATCACTAGAATGTTAGCCAACAACGAAATACTCGTTACCTTTTTCATATTAAAATTTTGTGAGGAGTTGAACGTGTTGACCTAGTCTAAACTAAAAGATTACTCGGAAAAGACAAAGAGCATATGGTCCGTCTCTTTGATAATCAGGCAACTACAAGAACCGATCATTTCTGTTAGAAACAAAATAGAAGAGAACTTCCTCCGCGATCGAAACCGTTTGGGCCGTCCTGGTTGCTGGTCTTGGCACCCTTATTTTCGTTTCCAATAATTGCTTGTATGGTAGATAGACGCACAGCAGTGAATTCATCTGAGAATATTCGGTTATCTGCTAGATCCAGAACCTATGAAGGGTAAGAGCAAAGGGTGGGAATACAGACAGCACGCCTATGACACCATTTGTCACCTCAGAAACCGTTTCCTCCCCAAGGACTCTTTAGCTTCTGCATCGCTCGTCGGTCTGTAGAGCGAGTAGGGTAACATAGCGCTTGTTACCGCGGTCCCACGAAGGTTGAATAATTGCATAGCGGAAGAAATAGGCCAGGCCGGCAGTAATGTAACATAAAATGTGATAACAGAAAAACAGAAACAGATAGCGATAGTTGATTAGTATTGTACAAATGTGATGAAGGAAAATAATTGTACGCCCGTTCGCCCGTGAGGTGGCTAAGGCTATGGAATCGTAGAAATTATCCGTACACACACATATACATAAATAAAAAGTACACGGGATAACATATTTTAGCTACAGATAGAAATTATTGCGCAGAGACGGCTTCTACATAGACCGTATACTCGTTTTGTCAAAACGAGAAACGAACGAAGAAATATATGAACGCTCACACTCTACAAACTACCCGTCGCTTAGCGTTGTGTTTCGCAGAACCAATAACGATCGAACATTATATATATATATATATATATCACAACTGTCTATATGTACTCTACAATGCTACAAAAGCGATGCGGTAGTCCGTGACCATTTTTGTTCGAAGCGGCATGGAATATATGAATGATAAATGTTTGAAATTTATTAAGGGAATACATTAACCCGCGCGGAACAAAGCTTTAATAACAGATTTTCTTGCAACTCGAACTGCTTTTAAGGCTTAATTATGTGTACCTGAAAAGCAATCAGCCAGATCAATGAATAACTAATGAAACCTTTCTGAAATTTGGATTCTTCATATATAAATATGTTTTTGAAAACATTTGGGACCTTCGTAGTATATATATATATATATATATATATATATATATATATATATATATATATATATATATAGAGAGAGAGAGAGAGAGAGAGAGAGAGAGGGGGGGGAGAGAGAGAGTCGATTAATGCCGTCGAGTACTGTAGTACTTTTGCCTGTTGTTGCATATCTTACTTAAAAAAATCTATGTAAAAGTACAGGCCATGCTTGCAACAAAAGGCGTCTATTTATCAGCTTTCTATTCTTTTATGTTTCACTGTTTTTTGCAGTCGTCAGAAGCTGGGACGGCGAAAGACTTAACCGCGTGCGTGCTTTTGACGGTCACTTGTGGTAGATGAAAGCCGCATATAGTTAAAGATTTGCTCCGGTTAACCAAACAACAGTCCCTACTGCTCTTGTAAAGCTTCTTGCAAAAGCAAGGATCATTGGGAGTTCTGTTCTGTTTTTTCAAGCTGAGACGTCCCAAATCGTCCTAATAGAAGCAATTGTTGATTTATAAAACCTGCCATAAGGGCTGACGAGAGAATATACTGCCACGGTTAGGCGTTCCAAAGATCAAAGTTGGCAGTGATTGAAAGGAACAAAAAGGTAGCGTTATTTCTTGGCAAAAGCCGCCGAATATATGAGCGATAATTATGCTTATGTATATATACATATAATATAATGTCGGCCGAAATATAATTTGGTTTTTTCTTTTTAGCTCTCTCTAAACGCTGCTAACTTTTCAAATAAACCAGCCTTTATCATTCAAATAAGTTCCTAGATTTTCTATAGTCCTTGACAGTGAACAAAGGAAGCCGTACTGCATGACCTGGGCAACTGTGGTTCAAACTCAAATAAATTTTTGTTCAAAGCTTGTAAAAGTTTTTCGGGTTATCAAAACCATATGGTGTCTAGTGTTATTGTGTAACATCATCATTCTGTGCAGTCCTCTGTTTCTTCAGAGGCGCTATGCTGTCCGTGTTTTCACTTAACGATTTAGCAAACAAACGTAATGAAATTAGTTTACCTTCAACAACAAACGCGCAAGTGTTTTTTTTTTTTTTTATGTAATCATACTTAAACGGTATTGAGGAGTCTTCTACTAATTGTAAAGAAAATGTCAACCGTGAACACCTTGGATAAATGTATTTATTCTTATGCAGTATATTGTTGGAAGGCCCATTGGGCATAATAATCTAAACGAGAGCGATCGCCATATTATAGGCTGTTTGTGTGTAAAGTTCGGCTATTTTTACAAATCGAAGGTCTAAAACTCGTTGTGAATACAACAACGCGTAATGTGTGTAAACAACGCCCCACATACGCACTCGCACAAACAGTGAAACTGTTGTCGAAATCCGAAGTTTCTCATCTCTCGTTAGCCATTAGGACGACTATCTGTTCCGTCTGAAATTCAAGCTGATGATATACAACTGATCTACAGGATGTTCGTCTTGCTGTAGCAATGCATTATCAGCCAAGTCTTTTTAAGGGCGTACGCGTCTAGGACGCGTAGATTGATGGCATTGAAAACAACAAAGTCGTACGAACTCTGACAGTAACGACAGACAGCGAATGACGGCTGTGCAGACAACGCCAAGGTGAGCGAACCTCCGACTGAACGAGGACGTGCAATGCATTTCTGGTGTGTCGAGGCGCGCGAGCTTGCAAAGTCTCAGAAACCCATAAGCTGAGCAGACGAGAGACTTGTTTGCAACCGAGAACTGTTGGGCTGGACACATATCTCACGAGGGCCAAAATGCTACCCTTGATGAGAATGGGTCGATGTGCTAATTTTATTAGGCACAAGTTTTGTTCCTGGTTGAAGACGTTAGGAACATTATTCCAGCTTGAGCCGGCATAATTACAACAATGAACTCAAGTGTACACAAGATACACTATCAAGGTAACGATATAAGAACCATTTTGTCGAATAAGAAGACAGTTCTTCGACCAGAACTAAATAATTGTATGATCAGAAGTGACATACTATAGTCTGTAGTAACACAGCTGGATGTAATAAAGTAGACGAAGTGAATTAACGGAACTTTCGAGATTATGTCGTCCTTTATATCAGCGCTCCTTCTAAGTAAGACGGAGAACAAGCCGGCTGAGGCAAGCAAGCTGATAACGGTAGCGTTTCCCTGTCGCATATTGCGGAATAATATCCTGACTACTTTTTATTTCTTGTTCAGAAACATGCAATAGGCCATGAAAGGCCAGACGAGGTTTTCCAGTTGAACTTCTCATAAGATGCTTTGAGACGTGCTGCTGTTTCCTCCGCATACCAGCCCGCATATTAGCGCTTAGTAACCTACTGTGATAATGAATATTTTCCGGACGAACTTTTATTGGGAAGTAAAAGGTATCCTCTAACCTCCATGGAACGATTTATTTCGAAGTTTAAAATGACGTATGGGAGTGTTCGCATATAATTTCAGGAACGCCCAGTGTGATAGATTGCTTTTCGTCCTGACGTTGACAAAATAAGCTTTAGCATCTGTTCACTAGCCTGACATAGCCTCAGCCGCAGCTCAGGCGAACGGCGATCAAAACATAGAATCAAAAACACCACATCTACTATTAGTGACTGGAGCAGTTCTCAGACATATGTAATGCAGGCGGCTTGTCGTCTGCCGGCACTGTCTTTTCTTACCATCAGAGAACATTTGTATGTATACCTTGACGACATTTTGCAATCTATTGCTCCCAAGACACCTATGAATAACTATAAATAACGATATTCCTAATTGATAATGGAACAATATTTCATGAAGGCTCTATAAGGCTAAAATTGAGCGTTTCTAAATTAGTCTGTAATATTAGCCAATGCAACAAAGGCACTTACGTAAGAAACATGGCACCTCTGTATTCTCAAACAACTTACGCGTATGTTTAAAACGGATAATTGCAATGACATATGTCAGGTTAGCGAGTGGTAAGATAAGATACGTATCATTTGTAAACAACAAAGCATAATCGGAAGAAATTAGAAAAAAAAATCAATATCAAATAGCATTGTTTTTTATTTACTCGACCGCACGCTAAAACTGTTCTTATATTGTTGAATAGAGTAGATTTTTCAGCGAGAAAATCAATAACAGGTTCCACTTTATTATTGCGGTTCTCCGGACCTTAACTCCCCTGTAACAAATATACATTGAAAACACATTCCTTGCTTTACTATATCTGCCCTCTGTCCGTCACGCAGCGTTAATTAACCTATCGAAAACTTTGAATTTAATTTTTTTCCTTCAGTCACTTACACGGAGTGTACCCAAAAAGCTAATTGTATGTTCATGTATATGTACGTGTTTACGTCCAACACGAAGCTCTTCTGCAGCTTTGATTTCTGCTGTGTGTCCGTCATTCGATCGGTTTGCCTAGATTGGCCGATAATCGAAGGAACAGATTTGGATAGTATTGCATGTACATTACAAAGGATGCACTTGCAGGCCGATTGTAGCTAAAAAGCAAGGGCCCTTATGTTATGTCGTCAATGTTCACCTTGCCTCTCTAAGCCTGTTACAAGCATTTGGACTCAACTTCCCCTATTCTTGCGCTTTTGCCGTCCTATAGGTTAGCTTGGACTGCGCAGGCCAGTTCAGAATGTACTAAGCAAATAGCGAATTACAGTAAGGACGCCCTTGCGGCGTGATCTTTTCGACCATCAAATGGCTTTTAATGTTCGAGCCTGGTACGTGCGTCAAATACAGACAAGAAGTGACATTAGGGATGATCGCGATTAACTTTCTGATCAACTTATTTAGTCTTTTTCTATCAATTGTAAAGTGTAAGAACGTTATGTTTATGGAACACCGTTTGAGACTTCCGCTCTTATTAGCAAATACCTTTAGGCCGGCTATGATGTGCTTAAAGAATTATTGCAAATATTACCTGGTTTAGTTCTAAGGAAGTTTTATTCCATTTTTTTTTATAAGGTTTTCAAAGGAAACATTATCAAAAGTTGCTACATGACCCTTAATGGATAAAAAGGTATATCCAAAAAAATAATTGTGATTCATTTTACTTGTATCTGTTGATATTATTTGTTACTATTATTGCTTCTTCGCTTTTGGATTAGAGACCACATGTAATGCGTCTGGGGAATCGGAATCTGATTAAATGGAGATTATTTATTTCCAGGTATCCAATTATCTTGTACTATCTCTTGCGGTAGCGGACCTTATGGTGGCTTGCCTAGTGATGCCACTCGGTGCCGTATACGAGGTAAGTGACTGATATTGTTGCTCAACTAATTTAACGAAAAGTGTTTCTATCAATTGACAGCGCTGAAGTGACGTACAAGCTTCTGACGCTCTTCGAACATCCGTCGCACTAATACCTAGAGAATAGATGGCCATCTGGTGGGAAATAAAATCGCAATCATTCGATAGTAAATAGAGTCCTTTCTCTCTCTCTCTCTCTCTCTCTCTCTCTATATATATATATATATATATATATATATATATATATATATATATAAAGTGTGGTACCCCCGTGGATCTTACGGGCATTCCAAATCTCTCACAATACGAAGTATTGTATAAACTGCCTATTAACTTTTCTCATGCGCAACGTAAAGTTTGAGAGGCAGGGGAAGGCTCCGCGTAACCTTTACATACACCGTTATAGAACGCCTCAATTTAACCTGCTTATCGGCCTTAAAAATTGCCAATGTTCGTGAACTTAGTCGTCGATGATGCGGACGATTATTCGTAAGGAGGCTGCAAATGTTTTTTTTATTGTTTATCAGAGTATCTTGACTAAGCGTATCGCAGTGGGAGTATATCGGCGTTGGTGCTTCGTAAATGTTTACAATGTAACAGAAATTGGAAAGGTGGGGACGTACTTCACATACAAAAATGAACTCAATATATTCCACACTCTGCTCGTATAAATTGGTGACTTACTTACAGCTTCGTATCAAGGACGCATTTTCTGTAATAGTAGCAAACTTTCTAATAGCGACGACGCGAGTAAACCCGTGAGTTAGCAGATTAACTAAATTTCCGATTCTTCATCACGTCGCCGACGTTGTCGTCCTCAACCGCTGCAGTCCGTACGTACCTGCGTTATAGTAATTCTTTGATTCTGAGTCTAACCTCTCCCTTAATCATTGGCTGCCTTACTTCTAGCAATAAGAGCACTAACTAGCAGACATCATTACCTGCATTTTTGTCAACATTAACTTTTGCAACAGCTCTTGTGGCCATTATCCCAAGGGACATGAGGAATGGGCCGAGCTTCACAAAGCTCTATCTCTATTAGGATGAATACGTTTAATGCATCAACCTGAAAATTAGCCACCTGTCTCCCAATACTGAACTAAGAAAGCTCTTTTTACCGGAGGAGCCAGATTAGTAAGAAGAATGCCGCACTTTACTACCTACTGTACACACACCTAAGGGGGTCGACCGATGATGCTTGATCTTCCCCATTATATTAGATCCGGTCAGTCTGATCCAGCCAAATCAATTACTCATCAGTAGCTGATTGCTTAATAAAGGTCGCTTCCAGCAAACGTGTGTTAAACGTAGTATGAGGCGGGTTAAGCAAGCCACGTCTCTGACCTATGCCTCGACTAGAACGTTCGGTCGACTCTAGATATAGCTTCTAGTTCCCCACTACATAGACTAAAATCTTTCCATAATATAGCAACTGTGAAACGAGTAAACGTGCCTTTATATGAACTGCAGGGTGCTAGTAAAGGAATAGCTAGAAGTAATCCTGGTAGTAATAGTAGTCGTAAACAACGTTTTATGTATATTGCGTGGAGGTAAACGGCGACAAAATCACCTTAGACTTACTGCCCTTAACAGGACAGCGGTCGCCGCAGTTCCTTCCCAATGCATAGCAATGCCTATTTCAAGTGACACATCGTAGACTTTTTACAGTGCAGTAATTCGTTCGACAAAAAAGCGCAACAGCATCTATTTGGATTTAGCCGGTGCAGCGCAGGTAACAAACGCAGCACGACGGTTTTGTGGTCAGTTCAATACACTTTATTCCAACCTACAAGTAAACATACGGCGTACGCATCTACTTCATCACGCCGAAGACGTCTGATTATCTCAACGCTGAAGGCTAATGGCGATATTTTAGTGCGTGAGTAAGTACTCATTGAAGAGAAGATATCCATGTATGACAGATGACTTTAGGGATTTATATATATATATATACACGTCGGTGACAGGACTTGAACAGAGCAAATATGAAATGGAAGAGTACGTTTTTTACACTGGCATACGTTTCGAATAAAATTCACGAATACCGTTAGCGTTATCGAACGTGATTGAACGTGTCAATAAGTTTCTCTCTTGTTGTGCCTGCTCTATTCGATCTCTGTATTAAATTTGGGATATATCCCCGTCTATTTCGTCCGCGCGCACTGTGTACAGAGTCACCACTGGATCCCCGCATTGTTTTAATTTGGCATCGGCCTGTATGATGTTATTCCGTTGCGTGTATGTAAGCAAGGTCGTCTCAGCCCGTACGTTAACTTATGTTGTACCAGTGGGACGCATATGGGACATGGGTTTTTCGGTTGATCTGATTACAATAAAGACGCGCTGTCTTGCCGATACGCTTCTTCTGTTGTGTGCGTTGTCTATTTAATCAGGTGAATCAAGCGTGGATACTTCCGCCTGCTCTGTGTGATGCGTGGACTTCAATCGACGTCCTTTGCTGTACAGCTTCAATTCTGCATCTTCTCGCCATCGCCGTAGACAGGTTTGCCTCTGGCTAAGGCACCACCTCGTACAAATTTGGGTTATTTACGATAATCATATCATATATCTATTATAACGAATAAGTACATATACTTGCCCATTCGTTGTAACGTGTTTCAACTGTATAGGTTTAAGCTCGATCCATAAAATGATGTTTATATGAGTATGTATCCACTCGCACTATGCCAATTGTACTCATTTAAAACATGATAAAAATCTGTTGAATTTTTAACGGGAAGAGTGGTATTATCACCGCTGTTGTTTCCGTCCTCAAAGTCCAACCAACCGAAATAGGTCAGGACCATTAAGAATATCGAGCGCTCACTTATGAATAATGTAATATGAGTATAAACAGTTTTTACGTTTGCTTTCCCTTTCGCTTCGCCGCTATTTGCTGCCGTAGGTGTCCGATCTCTCTCTATGAACCCGTAAGATTTTAATTGTACAACCTGACAGAGAGACCCCGTGTCGAATTATGTCGAATCCCGCCAGCGACACACGGCAGACTTGTGCAAAAAAAAATCTCATTAAAAAGTTATGTCTAACTACAGTTTACATCAATATTTAATTACAGATATTGGGCAGTTACTTCGATCGATTATATGCGGACGCGAGATGCATCGAAGGCGAGTCTCTATATCTATTGGGCAAGATAATGAAGCTTTTGTCTACATGGACCACACGTAGCCGTCGCTGCATATAGTCTCTATTATCAGTTATAGGAGATTGTGTCATTTTACTGATCATATCTTATTCGAAATCTTAAACTTATGTAAAAAAACCTATCGTGACTGGAGCACAGGTGTGCGTATCGAATTCAAAAACATACATACACATGTACGCAGCTGTAGTAAATATTATGAACGTCAATTGCTTTTTCTTTACCGGCAGAGCCAGCGAAATTGGCAATAGCTTCTTAAACATCTTCCACACCACTGCTTCGTATTTTTTTCACAAAAGTCGCCCCGGTGGCCAAAAACCCTTTTTACCGAAGGAGGTAAATATTCTATTTGGTTGCTTAATTTCACAATGATAAGAATCGAATGAGAAGCATCAGTTGTGGGAATAGCCACAAGGAGGGCGCAGCTAGTACAGACTAAACGATCCAATTGTGTCAGGCTATCTACTTTTTTCGTCTGTCTGGCCTTCTTCCTGCGATTACCCGAATATCTATTGTCAGCTTGCTGTTTCTCTATCTGTTCGGAAAGGAGGACCTTCCGCTCGCTGAAAGGTCAACAGACGGACGGTTTGGTAAATTTGCGCTGATTCTACAGCTGCCCACGGAGCCCGTACCTCATTAATTTGTTTTGCAACTGCCCCGTACCAATCTGTCTTGACTGTCTGGCAAAAAGAAGAAGAGCACATTTGTTCGATGCGCGCGAATCCAAGCGTTCTTTTGCTGGACTTCGTTACGTACGTGCTACTCTGTTCAGTTGTTTCGTGCAGCTTTGTTGAGCCAATGGCCTTGCGTCCCTTTCGCTACGGTCGGAAACCAAAATCGGTTAGTAGGTCGATGAAGGCTACGTCCGGTCGGCAAATCGAAATAAGAGCTTAACCTTCCTTATCCTTCTTAATCGGCGCTACCCTCCATTCTGCTCCATCTTCGTATTTGTTCGCATCTTGTTTTCTAGCGCGTGTCACATCCTAATGTCGACGTTGCTCCGATAAGTTTACTGGCTCGATAGCTAGCGGGCAAGAGCAGCCGACTTCTACTGTGGGAAGTAAGGATTTGCCCGAATTTTCGGAATCCCGGAAGGGACATAACTTGCCTGCCCTCGTTCGGATTTTAAAAACGTTAGACATTCGTGTTTAGTAAAAGGGTTAGCTCGTAGAAGTGCATGGAACTCGTGTAGGATATCGGCGTTTGTCTACCCAGGCATTTGCACAACAGCCAGACGATCCCTGTGACCACTATTTGAGTTTTCCGCTAACACCTAATATGGGTCTGTTCTAAGCAAGCCCCATACCGAACACAGGTAAAAATCGCATCCAACTTTATAATCATAGGTCTCTATCGCGTTCAACGGCTGCAACAGTTGCTACCGTCTGTTCATTCGGCCATGTCTTTCATGCACGGCTTTACTCGTTGTAGCGGACGTGTCGACTTTTCGTCTTGTTCATCTTATCGTTTTTCACACGCACATTTTTTTTGTTTTTTTTTTTTCTTTGGTGGCCAGTGTCACCTGGATGAGCAGCACTCAAAACTTAAACAAACAGATATCATATCTAGTTAAGCTTTTTGCGGACATTTATTAGTAGACGGTTCTGTGTAATCCAGTGCTGGGCACCAACTTTGACACGATGAATCGTGGTTTCAACTTGCCAGTTAATACAGTGACGTGCAATAACGTGCTGCGCTTATTCACAATAGGTAACCATATACACGAAAGCGTACGAAAATACACTGAGAAGTTATAATTTCTAACTGAGATCGAAATAGCGGTGTAGGTAGTTTTGCCGCTATAGACGGCGAACTTTGTTGATATCGTAATCGTATGTAAGGTTCCTTATAGCGACCAACATCGTCGCTATTATATCACTAAAGCCAATTAAATGATAAAAGTTCGATATATTGACATTAAATAACCATTAGATGACCAGTAACCTGGACGATGGCCCATTGGGCTTTTGTTTTCTGAATATAGCTCGTTCTTGCTCATCCCTTTATTCTCCTTTGTCGCACTTACGCTAGGTGGGCATTATGATCGCCGTCGTGTGGCTGGCCTCATTAGTCGTTTCGATCGCACCCATCTTTGGATGGAAGGATCCAGGGTTCTATAACAGGTCAGTATTGCATTAACTCGTTAAATAATTGCGCGTTTACGGAATACTGTGCAACGCGCAAGATAGATAGGCCCCCTGCAAAAAATCTATGTTACAATTATTTTTCAAAGATATTATATGCGAGGAGTCTTTGACGAAATTGGAGCTTTGTTACAGAATATTTCAGCTTTCAGAGTTCCAAAGATGGAAAACAGTATGGGAGATTCACGAACGTTTGTGGAGGGATGTCAGGGGTAAAAAAACAACGAAGATAAACTGGTATTTAGTTTATGGACGTATTTTTCAACTCCCTGCTATGGATGTGTCGATGCATTTGGTCACAGCTAAAACTTGATTACTGTGACTGTTAATTCATCTACCCTGATCTGGCCTAAGTAGGACTTTATAGCAAACTCAGTGCAGCCTATATATGCGTGTCGAAACAGACACGCTATCGTCAGGAAAAGCTGACAGCTAATACGTTTAGTGCGAGGTATTGAAAAAAAACAGTTTTTTTTCGTTAGCTACTGTCCATTATAATCAATGAGTATCTTCATTCAGAGCACAGCTGCTAAGTTGCTACAGCTCCCTGCAGTCTCTTCCAGCCGTTGCATGGCGGCGGTTCGCCGACGCGATTAGAATATCTTTGGTATCGTTCACGTTGACGGCGCGTCCAGGCTTATAAAACATGCTTTAATGGATTGCTGACTCGCTTTAAACATTAAGGCCACCCGAGGGTATCAGAGTTCCTACGGTCGATTGGTAGTAAATTAGATTGCATCCACGCTGGCTGGCTTCGCCGGCGACTCTGAAATGTATAGCACCAACAAGCTATTTGTGCAAACTGCTGGCTTCGGAGTCAAACTAAATAAACTCAAGGTCATCAGAAAGTGCATGTTAATATGATAATCAATACTTGTCCTATGAGATTTAAGGTCAGGTCAAAAGAAGAACGCAGACATCTTTGACGACGAGCTAACGACGAATATCTTGTTTGGACCAGCGGTAGAGAATATCATCTAACAAACATTTTTCCGTATTGCCCATGCATACAAAAGGATCGCATTATACAATAATAATCTGGAACCGAGCCTGGACTGTTGAGACTAAAAGGCACGTTTTTTTTTGGAGTTTCCATTTTTTAGTTACAGGAAGTTATGCTAAGCTTAGAGCAAATCGCCTTGTAGGCGAGTATTTTACAATAGAACAAGTATGTGATGCGACAACAACCGTTGAAAAGGAACCGTTGCTACGCTTTTTGATCCGGTAGCATTGTCATTGTCTAGCCCGATCAAGCTTAATGCAGTCGAAGCTGCAAAGAGTAATGTACAAACATGTCTGCAAACAATAACAGAACATCGGCAGGGAAAGGTGATAAATACTTTGTCGAGGTGGACCGCTACTCCGGCTTCTTTTGTCAATCATGCATCCTCGCGGACGTCAAACTACCTTTGAGCATCTCCTGGAATTAGCTCAAATCTGGAAAGCATCAGACTATGAGAGAGAGCTCGAACGTGTTACCTTTCTAGTGGGACACAATACCTCGCGAGGCTGCCTATACGTATACGCGAAAGTTACTTTTGACAGCTGCTGTTTAATCCAAATAATAAACACGACTGTTTGAAAGCGACTAAAATTCGTGTTTAATTGATCTTCGCATGAGGATAAAGCCGACTTTCTGTTCGAACTCATCATTGACTACCATAGTTCAGTAATAAAACTTTTACGATGTTCACATTGTTTATACGGACAAATGTCTTATACGAATTAATTTTATCTCCAGTTTGATCTTATCATCGACCGAAGTCCAATATTACCATTGTCTAGATAGGCTTCTTGTCGTACGATGAATCAATTGCATTTCTACAAGCTTCTCACGATATGTGCAAAATGCGCCCGACGCATTGTCAGTACATAGTAAATGGGTCTCTCGCTGTCTTCACACGTTGAAAAACATAACTAACTTCCCTTCTTTCGATCTCAACGTGTCTATCGAGTCTCGCTTTCTAACGCTCTAATTTTATGCGATGATAGTTCAAAATTGGCTACGGAGACTTTGTTTAACTCTCAAGCATTTACTGGCTACATTACAGATTATCGGAGCATGTTTTTTTTATGTCTTACGGTTTCTACTACAACGGGTGCTTTGGGTTCCGTATGACAGTCTAATACGCAGTCAGCGAATCGTTGGCTATCTTCATCTCTTCTTATTAAATTCTGTTTAGTATACAGCTGTTCAGCTTACCGCTGTCTAAACATGCGTCATATTCGTTGGAAGCCTGGTTTGTAGCGTCTAATCTACATTTCAGCACAAGTCATCGAAGCACAACTTACTTTTATTAATAAAATAGTTTGTAAGTAATAAACGCTAAACAATCACTTCATATCTAATTTATTTACCCTTATATTAATTACATAGATTTCGCCAGATCATCAAAACAACACTTATAAGATCTACGCAATATGCAGACATACCGTTGTCTGGTCATACTTGAGAAATGTTTTATCCAATAGTTACTTTACTGGTCGTCGACACTGGGATTTCCGTTCTATGATTTTCTGGGTTATACCAGGCATTTTTCGCCATCCTCTTTAATGGGAGCAAATATTTTGTCTACTTGGCATGGTCTACCAAGCCCTAACGACCCAGTAGACTGGTGCAAAAAGCATTTGACTTTAAACCGTCCGAATTTTACGGCCATAAATGCTGTCTTCGGATAAGATCAGTTGAGTTAGCCCAGCCATCGCTGATAGCTCGGTGCTTCGGTATGCTAACAGACCGTGACGATCTTTTATTCCTTAATCTTCTCTTCGAACTGAACCCTTTATGTCGATGTTAATGTAGAGTCATCTGAACCGGGTTTAGCGTAGCATTCGCTCGAATTTTTCCTTCCGATGGCAGTCAGAAAAGCAGCCGATTAGGTCGCCAAACCCACCGAGTTAAGTATACAACGTGGTATGGTGGTTTTGCTAGGGAACGAGAACAAGGAAGTTTTCAGCGGAGCTCATCGCGAACTCTTCCGTCCATAGTCCCAGATCTTTTCCCGCAGATGTTTAGGTGCCCTGCTGAGTCGAGCTAACTCCGGTTTCTTCGTTCGTTCATTTCCGTTCATTGGGGAAAGTGAAAGAGTACGCTCAAAGAAACCGGCAAGAATCTATTGTTTAGCCATTTATTAATGCCGAAGGTTTTGCTAAGGGGCTTTCAACAAGGGGTGTAGTTTGGGAGATTGACAATCGCTTTGCAAGATGCCGTCTTTAAGATGTACCACTCGCATATCAGGTATTAGACGACAGGAAGAATAGAAAGACGGACGATTGCGATTAGAGTGTACGCCTATCATATTGTATATTAAGAAAGTTACTGGACAACAAGTTCTTCGTTTACATCTTATATGTGCATCAGTTTCCGACCTAACGTCCGTCGATACGAGTTACTGACGTCTTATGTATTAATAGCAATATGTAGCAACACTAGTAAAATTAACTAATAGTAAATCACTAAACTAGATAGGAATCTATGAAGAGTGATCCAAATGAATTTTTTTATTGTCTGTTTACCGGGCTCATCAGGATTGTTCGAAGTCGATCAGGGTTCGATCCATCATACATGTAGTAAGCTCATAATTCCACTATGCCACCTTCTCCACTACCTACCATAAGAAATCGTCCAAAGAAATTCTTAATGAATGATTCGTTTATTAGAATATCTTGAGCAATCATAATAATACTCTGTTACGCTGTTACTTACATTTCACGTAAGCGGCGTAGGGTAAGGCCTTTCGTCTAAATAGTTACTCGGCCCAAAGTATCTGGCCTTGTTTGTGGATTTGCGAATATATCTGATGACAGTGCTTTTTGTCGCAGCAATTGAGTGAGTAGACAGGTGAGCACGTACGTCATCTTGTGCGAGCTCAATAAGTACAAAAAATGGCTATATCCAAAGTTCCGAACGATACATTCATTCGGGCGTGCCTGCAGCTAAATTATTTACGCAATGAAACCAGTTTCGGCCACCTGCCAAATTGAATCATACATCGTTGCTGGTAATAGCCAGAATATATTGGAAATTCTCGTAGACCTTTAACATATCAGTGATTAGTATCTTGGTGTTTACAATAACCAAACATTAACGTATTTTAATTTTCCTCCAACTGTGTCCGTAAATTTTAAGAATTACGAGGCTAATGTAAGAGCTACAAGGAGGCGTGGTATGTATAATGTGGTACTGTCCTTCCTCCCTAGATCAGACATCTTAAAAAATAAATAGGCAGCCGGAAGTATGAACGTAGGTGATCGCCGCGCCACTTGCATTGAATAGAGTTGGGATTTGAAGAGACTGTTTGAAGATTCTGGTTATTTTTGTTCTGAATAAATTGTACATTGACGACTTACTATATATTTTGTGTCATTGAAATAAGCCATATCTGTACTATATAGTGTGAAGTTGATTTTCAAGCCGCGAATTGTTATTTGGATGGATCTCACATAAATCATTGTATCACCTGAACGTAGTCGATAGGCGAAAAGCCTATGTAATAAAGTCAATGACGTTTGCGCTCACAATTTACATTGTGATCGGGCATTTTCCATAGATAAGTTGGTGTACGATCGTATGAATGTGCCTCTTTTCCTATCTCACTGACAAGTTTAAGTAATTTTTAGTACACTCATCTTCTTTTATGTTTTTTCGGTATTTCTCGGCGATGCTGCCATCGGTTTAATGTGTTTTACCGAACTATGTTTTGCCACAACCGCACGACCATCGTGGATGGCGTCTTAAAAACGACCTGCCTCAATATGAACGCTCAACTCTGTCACTGCAATTGCTTCCTATCATGACAACAATGACGTTTGTGGCTGTTGTCCCGGCAGGGTCCTGGTTGAGAAGAAGTGTCTGGTGTCTCAGGATGCGCTCTATCAGATTTTTGCAACATCATCATCTTTCTATGTGCCCCTCTTTCTCATACTGTTGCTCTACTGGAAAATATTCAAGGTACGTACTAGAACAACGCACGTCCCACGCGTTAAAAGTTGCACAAAACAAGAAATAGACGCTGTCGTTGCCGCTGGAAACGATCGGTAAGATTCATGCGTACTTCTATCGCTCTAGCAGGTCATGTACCTGAAATCCACGCGCAGTCAAGCTCATGCAAAGAAGCCGTTGGCCCCCGAAAATGTTTCTCATAATTTGAAATCAATAGTAGTGAGCCTGACAGTCAATGTTGCTGAAGCCATATTTTCCAAATGCCAACCGAGCAATTGTGTCCAAGTTTCCCTGTACGCTACCCTGTACGCAGACATATATACGGCATGCTCGAGAGCACATAGATTCTGGATGAAATTGTTTAATGCATGGCTTTGCTATCTAGCATATATGGTAGCAAGGTAACATTTTTACTGATTTTATGTCACTTGTTTTTTATGGGTCCGTGTTGGTCACGCGTGATCATCTATGCGACGCCTCCTTGTGGTTAACTTATGCTGGACTGCTGAACGGTATACGATCGATTGTATATCATCGTGGATGGCTTATTTTCAGGTTGCCCGCCAGCGGATACGACACAAACCGGGCAAAAATCAGAAGCACATAGCTGAGAAAAATCTCAAGGAGAAAAAAACAGACAAAAAGGTTCATAACAGCGCACCTAAGGGCACTGGAGAGCAGAAAAGCCCCCAACAGCAAGTTTACAAGAGCAATAGTCCTGCCGTTCTCATAATACAAAAGGTAGGTGGATATTTTTAACCTTATTTTCCGCATAAAAATTTCCCTCTGCATCACTATCGGTTACCTGCGAGGAGCTCTGGCATTGATGCCAGCGTCATTATAAGGATAGGGGGCCAATCTTTTTTCGTTTGCGTCTAATAATATTTTAGGTCGTGCCCGGAGTTTGGCGTTGATTACAACCTTGTGAATTACTTTATCTAATACAATTACTCGGTGATAACACTGGTACACGTATAGGGACCTATGCATTGTATGTGGCATAATAAAGGCCAAAAATTCTTTTTCGTTGATAATACCGATCACTCTGGGTTAATTATAAGAAAATTTTACCATATGCGTTCATATTGAAACGGCATTTCTTGAGACGAGTGAGCAGTGGACGATTGTGCCTATGGTCCTATACTGACAGGTACACGAGCCTTTGAGCTAACGCTGGCACTAGCTATAATTTTACTTAGGTTCATCGTAGACAGTATATACAGTGCACTTGACATTTTACTGTATAAATACATCATATATATATCAAATTCAACAAATAACTTCTAATACATGTGTATATATATATATATATATATATATATAAGAATCCGTTTGTTGCTTAAAAAGGCCAAATAGGTTTGAGAAATGGATACGTACAAGAATGGCGATGCCGACATCTTTTCATAGAACAGTACGCGCTTACGTTACAGTTGGAGGTATACGTAACGAGTATTGAGCTTGCCGCCGCAGTGTTCACAAACGTGTGGGTTAGATAGAACGACATATACATAGACATTGCTAAGTGTTGAAAGGTCATGTTAAGAATATTTGCCCATCGTGGGGTTAAAGGGTGCAGTTCCTCAAATGGAATGTAACCCTTCAACATTGTGCCAACTCGATTTGTTTGTAGAGTTCTATGTGATGGCCAAGAGGATCAATAAAAGGCGTGAGTTAAGATAGTATTTTTGTCGGTAATAAAAAGAGCATCTGTTAAAATTTTTGCTATCTAAATACTTTGTTATGAACATACGACGCTCATATGTTTTACTTACATTTATATTCATCTGACCTAACATAAATCCTATGTCAATATATGGCCCAATACAGCTTAGGATGTATTATTTTATAAGTGCATTTTACCCGATTGGTAAGAAGCAACGATGCACTATGGTTTCTCCATGAACAACACAATTGAAAAATTTGTTCCTGTTATTATTGTAGAAATGTTTTGCAAGGTACTAAAGACAGTCGGTGGTCAGTATCTTTCGTGTTTGAGCACAACAATCACGCATCGCGATAGCACTTCAATTAAACGTCTTATTAAATGCTCGTTTAAATCTCTTGAGACGCTGGACAATGCACACGGAAGCTTGTAATAATATTTGTCGTAAAACAGGATAATTCACCTAACGATGGCTCAGGCCGACACCGGTTTGCGGACCTATCAGTGCGAACGTATGCTGATGGCTGCAATGAAAGGGAACTGTGATCTGTTGTTTTGTTCATGTAGAAGCTCGTTGTTTGCTCGTATACAGTAACACATACATGATCCCAAAGGCAGTGCTATAACGTTCGATACAATGTAGCATCACATCAACAATGATGTCCATATACTACCGACGATAAAATATACATCGATCGCGCACTAATAAGTATAACACTCCCCAAGTCATTATTTCACGTGGCCGAGCCCTACATTTCAAGCCTACGCCCTTGTAAACAGTGATTACATCCTAATACTTGAGACATAGGTTTTTCTCTTCGTTTCGAATCGTCCCGTTATTCCTACGTTAACACATTGGCCGTCTCTACGTCAACTAGCCTGCCATCGTTTGTAACATCTTAGGATGTGAAACATTTTTTCGATACCTTTTTCTATACATACGTATACAGATGTACTCTTTGCTTTGTAACGCTTTTCCCTTTGATCTATTCGTCCGCGTGATTGAGCTCTAAGCACGGGTCACTGGAACGTCCTGTTTCTGCTGGCCCTGGTTATTGGCTTTTTACACAACGCTATCTAGCACTACGGCTAGGTCACTGGAGCCCAAGTCAGCCTTAATTTACTGGCCAACACACGCGATATCACATATACTATTATAACACGACATGCTTACTAAGCGTATGTATACTTACTACTCGGAGTCACAACGATAGGTATGTACGCCCCAAGCTGTATTGTTTTTTTAATTGTGTGAGCGCTACGGTGATTTGTCCTCCCATGCCCCACCATGCTCCACGCAAGAGGGATCCTAAGCAAAAAAGGGAAAGAAAAAGGGCCGAAGACAAGTATTATCCGAATTTTGTCTTGGTCGCCGGCATAAGCGCTGTCACAGGTCGAATCGACAGCGTTTTAGGAAAACTTTTCGTCGTTGCCTAGACTACCCTTTCATTCTCGGCCATTATCGACTGCACCCTGCTCCGACAGACGCTGGCTGAGCACAACGACAAGGTAGCTAGCGCGCTCTGAGGTTACAGCAGGATGTAAAGTTTCAGCGAGCTGAAAAAAACAGCTAATTACGTGTGGGAAGTTCACTATACTTGAGCATAAATTAATGAATTCGCAAACTTCGTATCGTCCGATAAGCTGAGCGTTTAATAGAATATTATTAGTGGAGCCTGTTGTTAACAGCGAAGGCAAGCCATCTCCATTTGGTTGCTCTTATCGTTGCCGTTCCTAGGAAAACTGACATAAGCTTAAGTACTTTTAAGGTAAAATTTCGAAACTTTGCTACTCTTGTGTGTGTGAGCTTTCCGTTTGAAGCGGATCCATTAACTCCATATGTTCAGATTCACACAAAAAGGATTGCTTGAGTCCTCGTATGTCAGCTCGCTATTACTGCACCCATCGTTTCAATCAACACTGAGTGCGGTCAATGTTGATTAACAGCTTTCTTCGATATTTTGTTACAATATAACACAGTTATACTACACAATCTAAATAATAGCCTGCCTTATATTTAGGAGTTTGTACAACGAAATCATCGAGTGTGCGGAGTCCATTCATCTTAAAAACTACACCGTGCTTAGAGGCAAGGAAGATTCGAAAGTAAAACAGTACGCGATTCAATTCATCATATAACCGGTGTAACATTAAGATCCGTTTGAGCGTTCTGTCTAGCGGCTTTCGACTCGCCTGTTTAATGCCCAGTTCGATATGGGTCCCTGTAGAAGTTCTTCACGTATTACAAGTACCGAACGATGGAGATCTGTTCAGTCATGCAAAGATTTAAATTTCTGGTAACTTATATGTGTTACTGCATTAAAGTACAGTTAAGGCGATGTGAAAGAAGCGCATTTTTATTTACGTCGGTCGAAAAATACTGCCAGTTACCAACCAATCCTTATTAGTTGGTTAGAAAATGATTGGAAAGAAAAATGTTTCATAGATACAAATTAATTTAGGTAGCCAAAGCTGAACCTAATAAGTTTCAGTCCTTTCAGGACGCTTCAACATCCAGTCAAAACGAGCAAACCGTAGTATACCCCTCAGTGACGGTAGACCGTGTACCTCCCGGCCAGGAAACCCTTGTTACGGATACAACTTCTCAAGAGGTTGCTTCGCGAGTCCCGCAGCAGCAGCAACAACAACAACAACAACAACAACAACAACAACAAATGCCAGTTCAAAAGCAGCAGCAACACATTCAGATGGCACATATCACTCCACGAAGTGAAACTCCAAATGGGCTAGCCGAGACTCAAATACAGGTAGGCGATATATATATATACACAAACGACCGTGTAATTGAGTCGAAGGTCAGCAGCAGGTGTACACTATAAACCGTTATGAATTTAAGGTAATTCTTGTACAAGTTTATCTACGTTCAAACGTCAGTGACAACGGTCAAATTTTCTTAGACGCGCGAAAGCTGTTTCTGTTTTGAGCCGATTTACGATACTAGCATAAAGTGTATTTGTTTCGAACACAACATCGGGACAACGATCGACCAGATAATTCCGCGTCGTGCACCCAAAAATCTTATCCATATTTATCCGTATATTATTTACTTCATGATATCTATAAGCCACCGCTCTATCGACAATCGCGTTTAACAGCCCCCAAAAACCATTCTTTTTTAACGAAACGTTCGCACTGGGCTCTTCTCTCATGCCCGCATCATAACTTGGCTAGCCATTTAATCGAATTAGTTTTGGCATAAACAAATTCGTCATGGATTTTCAGTTACTCTCAAGTAAGTCATAGTAGGTTTTCATCTCGCATAGACTTGTTATGGCCTACAGTTGAGATAGCTATATATATGCCGTTTTATGAACAAACCAAAGGTACTTTAGAATTTCTAGAACGGCAGTAGAGGCAATCAAGTAGGTACTAAGGTACCGAACCTCCTATGGCACTAACCGAGCCATATCGCTTTATATTCGTTTTTGGATTTCATTCGTTGACGCTGTTGCGGTACTGTACAATATTATGCGACACCGCTATCATCGAACGGAACTGATTTGATGTTTCTTCTGCCGTCAACTCTACCGCTTTTCACCTCGACAGATCTCAGTGGCATCAGGTCCCCCTGTAGCGCCTGGGTGTCCCGTTGTCACAATGGACTTCGAGACGCCAACGTCCCCGCTATCACCTCCTGCGCCACCCACTGCCGATAAGTCGGTAGCAACCGTGACGTTAGCGGCCAGTGAGCCGGTTGTTGCCTCTTCGAAAAGTCATAGCGGTCACTCAATTGGACGGCTTCTTGTGTTGACACGTCGGGAAAAATCAAAACGGGAACCCCGTGGGAAGGGCGCCACTGAGGAATCGATTGAGTCCCGGCGCGAGCGTAAGGCGCGGAAGACTGTCGCGATCATCACAGGTAACATTGATGATTGAATTCGTTTGAAATAGAACAAGGACTCGATTACGAGAGCTTACAGAGCAGATGCTAGCTGACTAATTAGTAGCCTAGAACAGTACAGAGGCCTTACATTTTATTAGTCACTGGATTGATGTTTTAAATATTAAGATGGCGTCGTGGGCGAAAGGGGTCAGTTCGTAAAGTTCTATTAATAATCTCTTTGTACCGCTCAACTAAAGACAGCTTATAATTCAAACGCATTTACTTAATTAGTTGTCAGTTCTCAGTGTTTTTTTCCCATTCAAATATATGCTTGAATACAGTAGAATTTCTCGTTGTGTTCACATCTGACATTTGCAGGCGTATTCGTGGCGTGCTGGCTGCCGTTCTTCAGCACAGCGCTCCTAATGGCGATTTGCGAATCGTGCGCCCCGCATGACCTTGTCTTTTCACTGTTTCTCTGGCTTGGATACGTCAACTCCATGCTTAATCCTATGATCTATACCATTTTCAGGTAACTGCGCCGTAGGCGAGCGTACTACCCTAGTCACCTATTTTATTATCATACATTTCGACCAAGAACTGAGGACAAAGTTCATGTTCACCTTCATATAGAGCGTTTAAATTCACGCGTAGAAAAAAAATGATAATCAGATGCAACATTTTGGCATCCTCGTTTTGTCCTTGTAGGCCGCAGAATCCGTTTAAGTTGATGAAAAAAGCCATGTCTGTATTCATGCATGGTTCCACTTTTGCATCTTTTTCAGCCCGGATTTCCGCAATGCGTTCAACAAAATTCTACATGGTAAATGCTGAAAATACCACTACTACTACTACTACTACTACCACCATAAATAGTAATGGTACTATGATAGAGCTAGAAATGTTGATATATTTGCTATATATCCTGGGTACAAAGTGTATACATGAGAGACGAACCTTAACTATGGCGCGCTCCTCGTGGCCTGGGATACTTCACTTAGGATGGCCAGCCTTGCCATACAAAACTCATTCCGATAGGCAAATACTTTCGGTAGACATATATATATATATATATATATATATATATATATATATATATATATAGAGAGAGAGAGAGAGAGAGAGAGAGAGAGAGAGAGAGAGAGAGCAAGAAGTTTGATATGAAGAGAAACCAAAATTTCGCTCGAATAACTCTATCCTCATCCTTGGAAAAGTCCCACAAAAGCCTCGTTTAGACGATCCTTACATGAACTAAGCATCGGTAGCAATAAGCTTCTACGCTCTTTCAAGTTTGATCTTAACAGAGCACTCGTTTGGCTGGTTGCACTGGTGAGTATTTTAAATCGATATAAATATTGCCGGAATTCATTAAAGTTTCTTTAATTCTACCTTATCGATTATACGAGGTCCTACCCTACACTTAAAGTACAAACGAAAATTCGCACGTGTGTGGGATATCCAAATGGCATGCGATTCTTCCATCTGGAGAACTGAAGAAAATGCGAATGAGTATCGATCGTGGACGCAGATTCAGCTTCGTTTTGGTATTTAGTGTTACGTTTTAGTTTTCTATTGTTCACTCTTCAGTCTGCTAGCGTACAAGAGCTATAGGAGGCCAAGCTAAATTTGACACAGTTCAAGCTGCAGCCAAAGACGGAATAGAGGCCGGTCGACAACTCGGGGTCTATCACAGCTATGACTACTGCTCCCTAAGCAACAACCGCGTAACTGCTCGTGAACTGGTGGTAGAGTTATATTGTCCTTCTTTGACGATCTTCAAGTATGTGTTGACTACAATCGAACGTTAAATCCTACGATTTTTGATTAAAAATCAATTACACGCATAAATTTGTAACTAACAAGTTAAATGGTTGCTTTCGCCGGCTAACTCAGCGTGAGTTAGTTACTGCTGAAGACAGCGAAAAGTAACGGAGGCGCACACTTCTTGTTGGCATGGGGTGCTTCAGAGTTGAGCTAATGCCCACTACCTATGAAGGTAGAGCAAATGGGGCGATAGAGTCGCTTAAACCTTCGTATATTAAACGACCCCTGACGAAAGGGGGGGGGGGGTAAGACTTTACAGAGCCGAAGTTCTCGCGGAGTTTGCGGGCACGTCATCTGATCTATGGAGGTTTGACCAGACCAAAAAAGCCAAAATAAACGATGAAGCAAGCACAAAAAACGTCGCTGAGAAAAAAGTTTTTGATTATCTGCGCCTACGGCTGCGGCGGTTCGAAGAGTAACTGTAAGTGATCCAAACAAGTACAACTTCATAATAATATTATTAATAATAATAATAATAGTAAGTATACAACTACGAGAAGAACGATATTAAGAACAACAAGGAAACATATTAGTAGACGAAATGAAACAACAAAAGGTTGAGGTCTCATCTATGTAGATACGCGGTAGCTAGTCCCCGATAGTAACGGGGACGGTAAGGCATGAGTTAAGTTACGCTAGAAAACGTGGTGTATTGTTACCGATGATGATACTGTGGTTATAAAATACAATTGGCTTTTTGTTGCACGTAGGTAACAAAACCGGATAATTAAGCTAGAACGTAGACGTACGTGCATATTGTTATCGGGGCGTGACAAGCTTGACAAATCTATTTGAAAAATACATACGTGTTAATAATCTAAAATCCACGGAACGCGTGACCAACTGTAGACACTTTAGTGAGGCGTGTGTTGTTTCGAAGAGGGCATTAGAACATACGCTGTTCGATTGCCTTCGAGATTTCCAACTCAGATCAGACAGCGTCTCAGGGTCGGTCGGTCGGTCGGCTAGCCAGTACCGTAGAAAAGCTCTTCACTCTTGGCGGCATCTGCGACAACTGCTGCATATTGCGTAGTCGAGTTTGCCTTGTGTAAGCCATGGTTTTACTAGCGCTGATATCGCTCAGTTCTGTGTAGTAGTTTAACGTGGGATAGGGCATCGTTAGGAGGTTAGCCGTATAACTTAATATCAGTCCAGAACAGGTAGCAGACAGGCCGAATTAATCAGTAAGTTTATGTATTTTTGCGTTTACACTTACTTCATTGTGTGGGAAAGCAAGGCATGGGATAGGGCGTCATAATGATCTGTGACGGGTGTCTCTCAGAGAGCCAAAGTTTGTATTTGTGGATAAATTTTTGAGCTAGTCTAGTCCCCTTTCGGGCCTTACTGTGGTATTAGAACGGCAACAAATTGACTGAACTTTGTTTAGCGTATCGCATAAACTTAGTCAGATAGTATACATACATACATACATGTAGTTATTTTTCAGTTCTGTGAAACGATGAACTAGGAAACTGTAGCACTTCGAACGACGGAGAATATAGAAAGCGTGGTGAGTATTACTATTACAGAAAATATCCCATAGACATAAATACATCTATCTATCTATATGTACAATAAAATCGCATTGTGACTGGTCGCTCTTCGTAACTGCGTAACGAATCAAGTTATAAACGTCATCATTGTTCGAAACGAAAACGTTTATTAGATAAGAAGAAGGGTAATGACGTACAGACCATAATTTTATGTGTGTACTCCCTAATAGTGTCTAGTCGGTGGACATAATAATGACAGTCGGGTTTGCCATCATTCAATTGTACGAATGCTAGCGTATATAATACAATATATAAACAACTTACGAAGGTAAAACAGTAATAATAATTATCATTACTGTCATTATTATATACTAAAAAACGTTGCACGAACACACATAATTGCGATGTGATAGTCTTTGCATTTTTCCATTTGTACAGGGTAAAATGCAGCTTAGAACATGGCTGTACTAAATGCCATCTCCTGCTGCGCGTTGCCGTGAGTTTGTTTGTTCGTGTGCGTTAGGTTAGGCCGATAAGGTGCAGACATACAGGCACAGGAGAACACGCAGGCTTCTTCCCCTCTGTTCCTTTTGTTCTTCAAGAGTTAAATATGTGTATAGAAATCACATTTGTATATAGCCTATGTGAATGGATGGCCGTAAGCAACAGAGGCGCTAGGGTTCGTTTTCAATGAAGACTGACTAAACAACTATTTAGTTACGAGGCACATTGCCATGCTACGGTTACGTCAAATGTAAAGGCTAATTTAAAGGCAGGCAAGATACTGAAGACAGATGACGCGAGAGGTAAGGCCGTTCAAATGTACGTCTTTGGAAGGTGTTCAAGTATACATATATATATATATATATATGTATCGTTTGGTCGTTGACAAAACTTTACACAGGCCTTTCCTATAGACGTCAGTGCTAAAATTGTGTGCACCGAATCGGCTCTTCAGATATCGAGTAAGCATTTGTAATTGACTACATGAGGTAGGATAGGACTCAGCTGGAAATACTCTGGGTGTTTTGAGGCATATTCGAACGAAACAGATGCATGCTTTCATCGAAATCTTTAGACCGAAAGCGAAATTGAAGATACGAGGTTCAAAAATATTGCAGTGCCGTTCAGTTATTTGGACCACCGGCAGTGTTTTTGGCTTAACTCGAAATCAGCTTCGCTGTTTTTCAATGTCCTTACATAGCCGCCTACATAAAAGATAGGACAATGACGGTTTAACAAAAGCCTTCCTGTGCATATCATACTAGATATTACCGTTGTCTCAATCTGCACAGACGAAACGCCGCGTTAAAAAGACGAGAGAAACGCTTGCTCTCTTTGATGGCATAGGGGGTTAGCTTGACTGCACCATTGGGTCTGTGGTGAAACGATATCTCAAATGTTTCGAACGCTATCTGAAAACTATTTTATATAATGTCTGCCATCAAAGCCGAGACAAGCCCTTGAAGACAGTGATCGATGTATAGACGATAGAGATACACTTTTACAATAAAAAAGAAAGTAAATGAAGTGGCAGAGAATAGAGATGGACTGAAAATGTATGTGACATTGTTACAGATATAATTATTATCGTCGCCATGATCGCCACATTGCGATTAATAATAACTAATTATATAATTGTTGCTATTATTGATTTGTAATATTATGACGAGTATTGTTGTTATGTAATGTATCTCTTATCGTCACGGTAGACACCGATAGAAAAAATAGGTAAGAGTCACATTTTATGAAATGAACGTTGAGGGCTAAAATTATATTGGACAGGCAACACACAAAAAAATTTATCAAGCAATTGTCGATAATTGTCCATTATCTATCCTATTCACTATCTAAATAGTGTTTCCCTGTTAACCTTTGTCTAAGTGATTGACTTGATTTGTTGACAGATTTTTTGAAATAAACCTATGTGGCGGCAACTGTTTTCAAATAAGACAGAGTTTACGAGAAACAAGATTTGCCCGTTTGTTTTTTGTCCAAATCACAGCTTTCTCTATCTAGCCAGCAATAATATATTCGACCTGTACTTATTGCATCCTACTCGTAGTGTTGCTTTACTATATAATAACATTTATTTCCATAAAATAATAAAACAGTATTTATTTATGTTTTGACCGAACGAAATCTTACAAAAAAAAAATATGAAGCAAGATAGTAAATATAACAAAGGCACATTAAGAATTCGGACGACAACGATCGATATTCTTTACATAAACACATTTACGTAAAATCCTCTACATACACATTTAGCGACAAATCATTGCATCTATATCAGGGCATATCAGATTTTGTTACATACAAAACTTAGATAAAAAAAAAATACCTAACAGTAATTATTATTTTTTGTTCTCGATTGAAGTTACGCAGTCGCTTCACCAATACACTCAGGATAGTAATAATAATAGAAATAGGAAAAAAAAACGTAATAAATCAATGTTAATAGACCAGTAGGTGATTATTCGGTGGCGCCTTAGTCGAACGGTGCTGCCTGTCCAAAGCCTTCGACATATTTTAGTTACCATTTTTATATTGCGCTTAAAAGAGACCTGCAACAAACCGACGGACACAGTTACAACAAACAAGAAATAAAAGAACGAGCGAGAGGTACAGTTAAAAAGGAAAACATGCAAAACGTCGAATGAAATCATTCCAGGACATCGTTGATGTTGATGGCGAACGGGATCCTGCACGA